CGGTAGTCAACAGATAATGAAACTGTAGTCTTTATTATCTAATTCTGAGCATTCTAGCTTCATTACTGAGGAAAGTTCTGGAAAATAATGCTGATTTGTAAATACCAAAAATTCAGTAAAACACACCAAGATTAATTTATAGGACCTGGGAAATAAGACAATTTTGTTTATAGTCTTTGATTGTGGCTAACGATAAACACAGGTATTTTCTTAGAGGGTGGGTGGGGAGGGATGTGATGGTGATAAGGGGGCCTTATTACCATATAAAATCTTTGAGTATTGATCGCAGAAGCATCCTGGTGGTTTTTTGGTAAAATTGGTGATTTATTACACATACAAGATCTATTGTTGTTTTAGTTATTAGGTAACAATAAAATCATATACCTGTCCAAGGTGGTTCTAGTTATACCAGGTGAAGGTATTGTAGGTAAGTTTGCAGGTAGATTCACTTGTTTACCCGCCCATGTAAACTGTCCGTTACAATAATATTTTATATAATAATAAAATCCCATAGCGACGGCCACTCCCGTACTTCCACTGATTTTCTGTACTCCATTTTCTGTAACGATCTAGGAAAAATAATTCTAATTTTTTATTTTCCTTTATTTATCTCATAATTCTTATAGGCCTACTAACACAACACAGTTCTATGGATAACTATATAATATATAAACATGACTGTCTGAACATATTATAAAACAACACAGTCCTATGGATAACAATCACTATATTATATACACACAATGTTTGAACATAATATAACACAACACTGTTCTATGGATAACAATCGCTATAACATCACTACAGCTCTGTCAATTATTTAATTGGACAAATATGACATAACTAATTATAATGATTGGTTACTAAGCCAAATGATGCAATAGTAATTTTCCTATCATAAGTGATCTGGTGATATTTTGTTTTCACATAGAACCAGTTATGTTTACCAAATTATAAATCTTTTTATGTGTCAATCTATCATTCATTCAATTCAAGTGCATGAGATATGACTTCTCAATAATATGAAACCCAATAATTAGTTAAAGATATAATACGGTCGCAGAGACCATAGTACTACACCCTTGGAGCAATCTGAACACGAAATGAAATAGGGTGAAGCTTCTTACCAAAAAAGAGGGGGATTTTTACCTTGACGGCAGCGCTTCAGCAAACTCTTATTTTGATGCCCAAGTGTCAGGGGATCTTTCAAGTGCTGGCAATGGTACACATCCCAACCGAATGACTTGAAACTTTTCCTTACCGAGCTCTCCTTCCTGCACTACTGACAGGGAAAAATGGAGGCTGGAAAATCATGCGGAACATTCTTAACCTGGATCGAACCCAAGGCTTTCTGGTCAGTGAGCCAGCATCTTTCTTTTTCTTTTTGGGTAACTTTTATCTTGGAAGAGGCATACACAAGAAAAACCCTAATGGAATGCCTATAACTTTTAAACGCTGAATTTGTGGATTGCTTTTAAGGACTTTTAACTAACTTTTAACCATATGGAACTTATTGGATGTACAGTTTTTAATATGTAAATAATCCAATGGTCCAGCAAGCGCATTCTTTTCCCCCCCACAGAGTTTTTTCTATCCGCACTGATGACGCCAAACATCAGTCAGCTGTACCTTCTGTTTTAACCTGGTTTTTATTATGACAAAGGGAGATGACTCGCCCTCTCTTCTCATGACAGCAATTTTTTAAGTGTGTTATAAAGTAACTTTTTTTTAAATACAAGGCCTTTTATTTATGTTGTGTTTTCACCAATTTTCAACTCATTGAGTGTAAATAATTTAATTAAATCAACCTGTCTATAATATTATATTTATTTTATTGGACTTAAATCTGTAATAAACAACAACAACAACAACAACTTAATTTTATATTTTGATAACTACAGTTTGAGATACTACCTTGTATGTATCTTTTCCTTGTGGTCCGAAATTAAAATCAACAGTAACATTAAATTCACTGCTTCTAGAACCTAGCACACGTTTTATTAAATCTTTTACTGATTCTGTTTGTATTTCAGCTGATGTTTTCGCTTTCAAATGTTTTAATGTTTTAAACTCTGAAAATATAAAAATATAAACAATCAGTTAAAATATAAACAATCCAAGCGCCCTCTTCCTTTCCCTCTCTATCTGTATCCCTCACTCCCCCAATCCCCCACTTCCACTCGCTCTTTCTTTACATCTCCTCCTCTCTCCCTCCCCCCCTTTCTATCTGTATTTGTAACCCTCCTTCTCCCCCTTCCCTCTCTCTCTTTCCCCCTTCCCTATCTCTGTATCAATCCCTCTCCCTTACACAGCATCACTTCCTCCATCTCTATCTGTATCCCTGACTCCCTCGTTCTCTTCTTCCACTCTTTCTCTACATCTCTCTCTCTCTCTCTTGCTCCCTTTCTATCTGTATTTATAATCCTCCCTTTCCCCAATCCCTCTCTCTCCCCCTTTTCTCTCTCTGTATCCATCCCTATCCCTTACTCTGCATATCTTCCTCACTCTCTATCTGTATCCCTCCCCATCTCTCCCTCCCTCTCTATATCCCTTCCTATCTCCCTGTCCCTTCCCCCCCCCCACTTCCTTATATCTCCCCCTCTCACGCTGTTGCTCCACCTTCCCACCTTCTATCATATAAGGAAATGAGGATCAGAAGATTCACAGTAGTAGGTCAATGATTTCAGTAGACAGAACAACTAGTTTGAGAATCTCCTCATGAAGGCTATGAGAAAACCCACAAGGTTGGACAGGTGAAACTACACCTTGTCACTCTACTTTACTCAATGACAGACCTTACATACATACCTATACCATCCCCCCCCCCCACCAACATATATACTTACCTATACTATGTCCTGTATCAATGTATCAATACAGCATACACAGGTACCCCCCTCCTCCCTAATATACTTACCTATACAGCATACACAGGTACCCTCTCCCTTTAACATATATACTTACCTATACTATGCCCCCCCCCCCCACTTCCTCCCCCTAACATATATACTTACCTATACTATGTCCTGTATCAAAAAAGCATGCACAGGTAAAAACACCAACCAGTATTACCTATAATATAACAGCTTTGTCCAGTTATTTTTGTTTGAGTGGCTGTTGATTTCTGGGTTCAGGAGCAATAACTCTGTTGCCCCCTTATAAGTCAATCTCTGAGAACTTGTGTGTGACAATATCTATGAGGTTGTGTCAAGCAAGTTTAATATCTTGATACAGATTTAAAATAATTCAATATGGTTGAATAATGATGAATATATAAGTAGAGGTATAACATTCATAAAAACATCTACAACTTTATGAATTTATTATTTCTTAGTTAATGATGAATATTGATGAATACTGAAGGATATTGATGAATAATGATGAATAATGATGAATAATTGATGAATAATGACGAATTATGATGAATAAGGATGAATAATGATGAATATTGCTGAATAATGATGAATATTGATGAATAATCAATGAATAATACCTGTGGTAGATTCATATTGATTTTATCTGTAGTAAAACATCTGATACAGGTTTGTGGTTAGTACACCTGTAAATATAACAGGTAGTTTATCAAGGTAAAATATAAGACAATATATAGACATAGATCTATGATATAATAGATAACAGTAAACAATGTAGGTTATATATTGATAATTCATAACCTTGAATCCCAGTACTCATATATGAAATAAATTAAAATGGGTTTAAACCCCTTTCTGCACCCAATGAAATCATGAATTAATGTCCTACTGTTTTGCTCCGGCAGACCTAATGAAGACGAGAACAGGCTAATTAAGATGTGTGCTATGAGGGAAGGAGAGCCATGGTGAATCAGTGAGTGTTGGTCAAGAATATTCCTCAAGATTTTAAAGGCGTGGTTCCCTCATGTCATTGGTGCAGGACGGTGGGCCTGACAAGGACTTAGTCTAGTCATTCGGATGGTAAGAAAAACTGAGGTGTAAAAGTTGGTATGGACGTAAAAGAACCCTTGACAGTTGGAATTTGAAATATATATAGACCTTCCAGTTTACTAAATGTCATTGTGCTTGATAACGACAAGAGAACAGTTATCGAAACGTTGTGCTTGCTTATAATAAACCAGTGATTGTTGTCCCATATAAATGTTTTAGTTTTGTTATCTACTTACAGCTTAAGGTTTCTTCTTCTTGTGTTTCCACAGAAGTAGTTCATTCCTGAATCAAATACAATCTAGATAACCTAAACATCGGGGTAACCACCATGATCAATAAATAATATAAAGGTGTAAATGCCCATAGGTTGGTGTGTTTGCACTGATGATTACATAATTTACTTTGACAACTGTTTTCTGTTTCTTGGTTTGCCTCCCTTGGTATGAGTTTTCACTTCAAGTGAAGCCTTCTCACTGGTGACCCCGAGATGACAGCCCCCCCCACCCCCAATTCAATTCACTCGATTTGTGTGTGATGTTTATTGCACACAAATTTGTTGTCGTGTGTAGTGCAGTTTTCCTTCCCTGGTTGGGGCTGAGGGGCTGGAGGTCAGGGTGGTCAAATAGCCTACCATGTGGACTTTAGATCATAAGGTCTGTCATTGAGTCAATTGACATGATTTTGATCCCAAGCAGTTACATGACAAGGAGTAGGTCAACTGCACATTCTTGGAAATTTTTCTGGGTCATCTGGTTTCCTTCCACTGCTTAAAAAAAACGGCACTCAGGCAAATTATTGAAACAAAATTATACCATATTTTAATCCCGAGATGATCTTAACAGGGTTTTCATTGGACCTCACTCTCCCCCCCCCCCCCCACAGTTTCACAAATGCTGATTCTTCCATTATTAGTTTTGCCAGTTAAATCAAATATGGCAGTGTATGTTAAATTTGATAACATAACTGTTCAATTTGATAACATAACTGTTCAATTTGATATCATAACTTTTCAACTTGACAACATATATAACTTTTCAACTTGATAACATATATAACTTTTCAACTTGATAACATAACTTTTCAATTTTTATAATACCCTTTATTAACCCTTTCATCAACAATAACAATATACATTCTATGTATATAGAAGCAGGCAGTTTGTGATAAAATGTCACATTTTAAAGATAACTTTTCAAGTTTAAAATACCCTTTTATTAACAATTAAAACAACAATATACATTTGATGTACATGGAAACAGGCAAGTAATGTTGACCTCTTTAAGTAACAAAATCATAGATTCATTATAAATTAATCGTTGTACATTGTAAGATTACGATAGATTTTGAGAGGCTCGCAATTTCTAAGCGGCAGAGATACACTCAAGTGAACCAATGAATAACCCAAGCAGTATCGAGTTTTGTTTTTATTCTATAACTACATGCAAATCTCAAATTACACTGTACGATTCAGATTATCATTAAAAAATCATCATCCATCATAGGTTCCATCTTTTTTCTTTCTTTTTTTTTTACAAAAATTGTGGATGCCTAGTAGTGGTGACATCATTACAGTTTGACGTAATTCTGACAGTGACGTCATTCTGGACAAAAGTAGTACGTGTCCAAACCATAGAATACAACCATAGGTTATTCAATGGCTGTATTCAATGATATTTGCTTGTGTTTGCATGTAGTTATAGAATAAATGGTGTGATTTGATAATCTGTGTGATTTAAGTACGTATTATAATTGGTTAAATGAGCAGTCATAAATCATTAAATATAGCCATTTATTAATAAACAGTTTACACAGTACTGCTATAGAGATTTATTAATAAACAGTTTACACAGTACAGCTATAGACATTCATTAATAAATAGTACCATTGTAGCCATTTATTAATAAACAGTTTACACAGTACAACTATATTAATAAATAGTACCATGTAGCCATTTATTAATAAATAGTTTACATAGTACAACTATAGTCATTAATTAATAAATAGTACCATTGTAGCCATTTGTTAATAAACAGTTATTACATGTACAGTACAGCTATAGTCATTTATTAATTAATAGTACCATTGTAGACATTCATTAATATAAATAGTTTACACAGTACAGCTATAGTAATTTATTAAAAGGTCCATTGTAGCCATTTATTAAATACATTCAATAAAGTACACTGAGTACACCTATAGACATTTATTAATAAACAATTATTCAAGTACAACAGTCAAAAGAATATAGCACAGCTATAGCCATATTAAATATACATTATGCAAGAGCGAAATCTACGTATTGCCTGTCTTTCTTTAGGCCTGAAATGTTATATAAATTATTAATTAGACATGTATTAAAATAACAAGACCATAATGAACTCTAGATGCCATCTTATTGGTCCAATCTTAAACCGATTTGAATCTGATCTGCGATGCAACGGCTGTTGACGATTAACCGTAAAAATAGATAATCAAGACTTTGTTTATTATCATAACAACGGTAACAATGACAATCGAGGCTACAGTGTTTTTGAAATTCGGTTTTCCTGACTGAAATTTTCTGCATATTCTCTTTACATTATCTAGTTTTTAACTATTATAGTGAGAACTCCCAGCTCTTTATCTAATCTCCCATACATAATGTATCTTTAAATAAAATGTTTGTAAAAAGTATCTATATCTGACTACAACCAGACACAAACTTACAGCTTGTGTTGAGTATTATATGTACAAAGACTTGATCACTCCAGCCTCAATAGTGCTATATTAACAAACAGTGTCAAAGGTCATACATAGATTCTCGCTCATCCAGGGATTGGCTGGGATGAAAAATGACCCTTGCCTTTTTAACTGGTAGATTAAGACAATTCATTGTTTGAAATATAGATGTGAACAGTGAGACAATATGAACACAATGTCATAGGGAGGGTGGATGGGTGGGTTGAGGATCGGGGGGGGGGGGGTCGCCGTACTGTTTAACTTAACATTAGCTCATAAGATCTCTCATTGAGTCAAGTGGCATGGTTTTGCTTCTGCTTTTGTACTTGACAAGGAACAGGGTCACCTGTCACACCATGACTTTTCTCTGGGTCCTCCGGTTTCCTCCCACAGCAAAATGCCCACACAAGCAAGTGAAATCGACCTAGTTTGTGTCGAGTGGACATTAAATTCCATTTATTTCTCTCTATATATTTGTGTAGTTTAAAACAAAGCTGTAGCAGTATAGACTGGTAGGTCAGGACAGTATAGACTGGTAGTATAGACTGGTAGGCCAGGACAGTATAGACTGGTAGACTAGGACACCATTTCTAGTTAAACAAACTAGTAGACTTCCACCCAGATTAATCACTAAACAGCACCAAATTTGAAATAAATACCCACAAAGTACAAGATATTAATAACTCACATTACAATATTTAACTCACATTATCAGCTATATTAATAACCCTCATTACAATATCAGTTATATTACAATATCAGTTATATTACAATATCAGTTATATTACAATATCAGTTATATTACAATATCAGTTATATTACAATATCAGTTATATTAATAACTTACATTACAATATCAGTTATATTAATAACTCATATTACAATGTCAATTATATTAATAACTCACATTACAATGCAAGTTGTATTAGTAATTCGCATTACATGATCAGCTATATTAATATCTAACATTACATGATCACTTATATTAATTTTATCAATAACTCACATTACAATATTAGTTATATCAATAACTAACATTACACGGTCAGTTAAATTATTATCAATAACTCACATTACAATATTAGTTACATCAATAACTCACATTACAATATTAGTTATATCAATAACTCACATTTTGTTTAAAATATTAAAAATGTACAAGATGGAAAATATCATAAATTATATTTTCAAAGATCTATCTGCATTTGGACAACATCTTCGTTCCAGTATCTTGATAAATGTTTGTCCAAGTTTTTGTTTTTCTCAGTGAACATTTTTGAGCTTTTCAGGTGATTTTTATAAAACTGATCATGTTCCTTTGTTGATGGCCTGTAATAGGAATACAGTTTGGATGCAATTGACACAGAATCACCTAAAAAAATAAAAAAATAGAAAATAAAAATTTCACTTACATATTAGTTTCTACATTCTTTAGTAGAGTTTTATATATAGCTCCTATTACGTGCTCGATAATCTACTTTTACAAAGTACATTAATATTAATTAGTTAAATGTGGTCTGAAGCCTTCTTAAAACCATTATGGTATATAGAGTTGTTTCCCTTGTTAATTAAAGGCCTTAGTCCTAGAGCATTCTGGGATTGGGTGAACTTCAAGATGGATTGATTCTCCCAAAACATAATTACGATTATTTTAAAAATAATGACGACATTTCGAGAAATAGCGATTAATGAGAAAGGAGGTGATTATTTAATCACCTGACCCCGTAATTGCTAACACTTTGCCCATTTGGCTAGGAGTTTGAGTAATGAACCCCTTTTTCCAGAGCAGTCCCTGAAATTGTCTGATATTTTGTTACCCAACCAGTGAAAATCTTGAAATACAATATGAATGATTAGCATAATTTCGAGCTTGTCCTTGCCAAATTTGTCTGATGAAGAACACTGTGATGAATGTAATTTTTGTAAAATTATTTCCATGAAGGTCAATAGCTATCATACCTGTAGGGGTTCTTGGATACATTTTAGTAGAAAATGTAAATGGTTTTTCCACTTTGGTTAGCACATCTGATTCAAAAGTTTTGCTGTTAAACGTTTCTCCCTATAAATTATAAATCACATATTGTTTGTTAAGAAAAAGAGCCACATTGCCCCTTATGAGTGGGTGTAGGAGACTGTCAGTCCATCGGATGGGACAAAAAACTGAAGTCCTCTGTACACATTGCATGTTAAATGTTTCTCCTTATAAATTATAAATCACATATTGTTTGTTTAGAAAAGGAGCCACGTTGGCTCGGATGGGACGAAAAACTGAGGTCCCATGTACACATTGGTTTGTATGTAAAGGAAACCTTGGCAGTTGGAATTTGATATAAAAATAGACGGTAGCGCCGCTGTCCGGTTAAAATTTCCATTATAGCACACTGTATGCTCGTTTTCATTAGCTCAGTCGGAGCAGAACAGTTAACATCCACTCAACACAAACTAGGTCATTTCGGGACTAACATATAGTTCAATTTTATTTCAGTAATTTGCTTGTGCGTAGGGGTCTTTAGCAGTGGGAGAAAACCAGAGGACCTGGAGAAAACCCACGAGGTTGGACAGTCGACCCTACTTCTTGTAACGTACAACCGGGGAATCGAAACCACGCCAGTTGACGCAATGACAGACCGTATGACACAACATGTACGCGCTAACCATTCGGCCACCCAACCTCCCTATTTATGAGAGAGAGAGAGAAGGGGTTTAACGTCCACTCGACACAAACTAGGTCATTTCGGGACTAACATACGGTTTAATTTTATTTCAATAACTTGCTTGCGTGTAGGGGTCTTTAGCAGTGGGAGGAAACCGGAGGACCCGGAGAAAACCCACGAGGTTGGACAGGCGACCCTACTCCTTGCCACGTACAACCGGGGATTCGAAACCACGCCAGTTGACTCAATGACAGACTTTATGATACAGCGCGCGCACGCTAACCATTCAGCCATCCAACCCCCCCCCCTATTTATGAATAAATAACTTACGGTTTTAACACAGTTTATTAAAGTATCAATAAACAGCTGCCATCTTGGTTTATAATAACTGTAATAAAAACAAATACCTGATGTAATAAGAACAAATACCTGATGTAATAAAATACCTGATGTTATGAAACATACATTATGCAAGAGCTAAATATGCCTATTGCAGGTCTTTCTTTAGACCTAAAATGTTTTCTAAATTATTAATTAGACATTAATTAACATGACAAGACCATAATCAACTCTCAATGCCATCGCTAGCCTGCAATATTTACTGGATTTGAATACATTTTTTGATGGATGATTTAACGTCAAAATGGATATTTGAGACTTTGTTTTTATCGTACCGACTTTAGTAAGGCCTAAAATTTAATCGATAATATCTCAGTTCAGAGTGAAGCAATTTGCCTGAAATTTTCAGCATATTCTCTTTACATTATCTATATTTTAACTATTATAGCAAGAAATGTCAGCTCTTTATCTAATCTCCCATTATGCCCCTTTAAAAAATATCTAATATATAATAACCTACGATGGAACAAAAAAAAATATGTAATAAAATTAATGTTTCTCTGCTTCATTTCCATTTTTCGGAAAATATCAAACTTTCTATAGCTTAATTCAGGTGGCTCAGTGAGTAAGATATTGACTTGCTCACCTGTAGGTCCCATGATCAATCCCAGCATTGACTGAGAAAGTTCACTGGGAGTTGGGGATCACGTGGCTAAGTGGGTAAGACGCTGGCTCGCTAGCCTGGAGGTCGGGTGTTCGATCCCTGCATTGGTCAAGAAAGTTCATCCAGATTTTCCGGCGTGGTTCCCCCTTGTCAGTGATGCAGGACGGAGGGCCTGACAAGGACAGCTGTCTAGTCCTTCGGATGAGACGAAAAACCGAGGTCCGTGTATATATTGGAATGCACATAAAAGATCCCTTGGCAGTTGGAATTCGATATAAGAGTAGGCGATAGTGCTGCTGCCCGGGCAAAATTTCCCTCATAGCACACTGTATGGCGTATGCCCGTCTTGATTAGCCCAGCATAGGAGCAGAACAGTAGGACGTTAAACCCCATTTCATTTCATTTCATTGGGAGTTTCCTCTTGTCAGTGGTACAGGAGTGAGGGTCTGGCAAGGGACAATGTATAGTCATTCGGATGGTACGTACAACCAGACAGCTGTCCTTGTAGCTGAACATAAAGGTAATACAACAGTTTAATGTTTTGAGAGGTGTTCTACTTGATGACAAATGCAAATGAAAAGAAATAGGGTTTAACATCCTACTTATTTGGTCCGACTGGGCTAATGAAAGAGAGAGAGAGAGAACTGGGGTTTTACGTCCACTCGACACAAACTAGGTCATTTCGGGACTAACATATGGTTTAATTTTATTTCAATAATTCGCTTGCACGTAGGGGTCTTTAGCAGTGGGAGGAAACCGGAGGACCTGGAGAAAACCCACGAGGTTGGAGAGAGAGAGAGAGAAATGGAGTTTAACGTCCACTCGACACAAACTAGGTCATTTCGGGACTAACGTATGGTTTAACTTTATTTCAATAATTCGCTTGCGCGTAGGGGTCTTTAGCAGTGGGAGGAAACCGGAGGACCCGGAGAAAACCCACGAGGTTGGACCACGAGGTTGGACAGGCGACTCAAAACCATGCCAGTTGACTCAATGACAGGCTTTATAATACAGAGCGCATGTGCTAACCATTCGGCCATCCAACCCCACTGGGCTAATGAAGATGGAATACGTCACGCAGTGTGCAATGTAGGAAATTTTACCAGCAGTACTTTTACTGGCACGCTAATGTGTACACAAGACCTAGGTTTTTCGTCCCATCCAAATGAATATTCATTGTTCCTTGCCAGGCCCTTAATCCTACACCACTGAACTTTCTTGACCAGGACAGGGATCGAACACGAGACCTCCTGATTAGTGAGCCAACATCCTACTTACTGAGCCATCCCGGCCCCAATATATACATGATAACAATATCTACTTACTCCATGAATAAACCAGCCCACTGTTTAGAAGCATAATCTACAATCTGAAAATAAATTGAGGAAAAGAATGATTTAACTCCACTAAGTTGACAATATACCTTGTGGCATTAGGTTGACAATATACCTAGTTGCATTAGGTTGACAATATACCTAGTGGCATCAGGTTGACAATATACATAGTGGCATCAGGTTGACAATATACCTAGTGGCATCAGGTTGACAATATACCTAGTGGCATCAGGTTGACAATATACCTAGTGGCATCAATTTGACAATATACCTAGTGGCATTAGGTTGACAATATACCTAGTGGTATCAAGTTGACAATATACCTAGTGGCATCAGGTTGACAATGTACCAAGTGGCACCAGGTTGACAATATACCTAGTGGCATCGGATTGACAATATACCTAGTGGCATCAAGTTGACAATATACCTAGTGGCATTAGGTTGACAATATACCTAGTGGTATCAAGTTGACAATATACCTAGTTGCATCAAGTTGACAATATACCTAGTGGTATCAAGTTGACAGTATACCTAGTGGTATCAAGTTGACAATATAACTAATGGTATAAGTTGACAACTAGCGGTATCAAGTTGACAATATAACTAGTGGTATCAAGTTGACAGTATATCTAGTGGCATTAGGTTGACAATATACCTAGTGGCATCAAATTGACAATATCATTGATGACATCAAGTTGACAGCATACAAAGTTGTATCAAGTTGACAATATACCTAGTGGCATCAATTTGACAACTAATGGTATCAAGTTGACAATATACCTAGTGGCGTCAAGTTGACAACTAGCAGTATCAAGCTGACAACTAGCAGTATCAAGTTGACAACTAGCAGTATCAAGTTGACGATATACCTAGTGGCGTCAAGTTGACAACTAGCGGTATCAAGTGGTATAATGGGACAGTATACCTAGTGGCATCAAATTGACAGTATACCTAGCGGCGTCAAGTTGACAACTAGTGGTATCAAGTTGACAATATTCTATTTTTAAAACATATCTAATCCTCCTTATACCTCTAAAAACCTTTTGAGCCAAGGTTTACAAAAACACCAAAAACAGTTTGCTGTGTAAGTTAATGTTCACATTATCAGCTGGCCGAATTATTTAGACATCTCAAATCGCTATTCTATGTTTAATACATATCTAATTCGCTTTATACCTTTAAAAACCTATTGAGTCGATATTTACGAACTCACCAAAAACAGAAAGTCGAAAATTTCACATTGTATTTCCTCGATTCCTGTTTTAAAAGAGCTGAAATGTATTTACCTGACCGTCGGGTCCCCATAACGTAATTTGATTACGAGCATTATATTCATATAGAGCTCCTTCAACAATATCAGTTGCCCAAGCTAAAGCATCACCAATCCAGTTAGATAGAAGAAAATGTGTATCAGATGCCAACAGAAGGTCTACATCTGTTAATAGTTTTATAAACTTGTCACCTGAATTTCTGTAAAAGATATAAACATATGGTAATGGTGAACATGAATGTTTTTACGCAGGAACAGATACTAGTCATATACTTATGTATGTACAGGTATTTGTCATATATCTGGGTACTGTATGTACATGTGTTTGTCATATACCTGTGTACTGTATGTACGGCTGCCAGTCATATACCTGGGTACTGTATGTACAGGTGTTTGGCATTTAACTGTGTGATGTATGTACGGCTGCCAGTCATATCCCTGTGTACTACAGGTGCTTGTCATACACCTGTGCAAAGGTGCTTGTACATGTTCTTGAAGTTTGACACATCATATAAACAAAATAAATTTTCTGTCAGACAGAATGTAAAAATGTACACACATTGGTATAATACAACCATTACAATAGGTATATTTCAAGAGTTAAAGCAAGTACCGCTGGTACTTACTGTAAAGCTGTTCTATTTTATACTTATTGTAAAGCTGTTTATACTTACTGTAAAACTGTATTATTTTATACTTACTGTAAAGCTGTGATATTTTATACTTACTGTAAAACTGTTTATACTTACTGTAAAGCTGTTTATACTTACTGTAAAGCTGTTTATACTTACTGTAAAGCTGTTTATACTTACTGTAAAACTGTTTATACTTACTGTAAAGCTGTTTATACTTACTGTAAAACAGTTTACACTTACTGTAAAGCTGTTTATACTTACTGTAAAGCTGTGAATACTTACTGTAAAGCTGTGATATTTTATACTTACTGTAAAACTGTCATATTTTATACTTACTGTAAAGCTGTTTATACTTACTGTAAAACTGTTTATACTTACTGTAAAGCTGTTTATACTTACTGTAAAACTGTTTATACTTACTGTAAAGCTGTTTATACTTACTGTAAAGCTGTGAATACTTACTGTAAAGCTGTGAATACTTACTGTAAAGCTGTGATATTTTATACTTACTGTAAAACTGTCATATTTTATACTTACTGTAAAGCTGTTTATACTTACTGTTTATACTTACTGTAAAGCTGTTTATACTTACTGTAGAGCTGTGATATTTTTTATCTTATAAGCTGTGAGTATATCAGAATACATCTTCATAGAAATAACTTGTAAACTATTCCTAGTGACATCAACTAAATCATATCTGTAACATAAATAATATTATCATCACTTGAGAGAGAGAGAGAGAGAGAGAGAGAGGTCCCAATGAAAACTCTGTCAGTGATTGAAATCATGCAACTTGACTCAATGTCAGACCTTATGATTCAAAACCCAAAATAGTTTGACAGACTATTTATAAAGGTGTATTAATTTACCTGAACAATTCGTTAGTTTTTAGTTGGGTTGAAGCCATGACCATATATTCCCAAGCTTGATATAAATCACTGGGTTTGTACCAAATCTTTAATAAATGTTAATAAATGTCTAATTAATAGTTTATATAACATTTCAGGTCTAAAGAAAGACCTGCAATAGGCAGATTTAGCTCTTGTATAATATATGTTTAATTAATATCTAAATCCTTTAATATAAAACACAGTCATTATTTTATAGTTTTATATAGTTATTCACATTGAAATTAATCGATAGTTATAGTAATAAAATCATTAATCAATTACGATAAATCATTAAATTTTAAGACTAATAAACTAATATACAGTAGTTATAAGCAGAATGCAGAATATTTGGTTATTCTCTTAGAATATAAATAAAATCTATAAAAAGTTTTTATTATGAATAAGAATAATACATTGAAAACTAATACATATACATGCAAATCTATATACGTGCCACGAAAAACAAAAACAATTTGCAAATTCTATTCTACTGTGCAACGATAGGTCTGTAACCCCAACATAACTCTTTCGATATAAACGAACTATGGTCAAATGAAATGAAAAGGGGTTTAACTTCCTACTGTTCTGTTCCGATGGGCTAATGAAGACTGGCATACGCCATACAGTGTGCTATGAGGGAAATCTTGCCTGGACAGCAGCGTTACAACTTACTCTTATATTGAATTCCAACTGCCAAGGGATCTTTTATATGCATGCCAATGTGTACATGGGACCTTGATTTTCGTCCCATTCGAATGACTAGACAGCTGTCCGTGTCAGGCCCTCCGTCCTGCATCTATGACAAGGGGAAATCTAACTATCTTGGCCAGGACCTGCGACCTCCAGTCTAGCAAGTCTGTATCTTACTCACTTAGCCACTGAGGCTACCGGCTACGGAAATGAAATAAAAAGAGGTTTAACATCCTACTGTTCTGCTCTGACTGGGCTAATGAAGACAGGCATATGCCATACAGGGTGCTATAAGAGAAATTTTACCAAGACAGCGGTACTATGGCCTACTCTACTATGGCCTACTCTTATATCGAATTCAAACTGCCAAGGAATCTCTTACGTGCAAGTCAATGTATACACAGGACCTCGGTTTTTCGTCACATCCGAACGACTAGACAGCTGTCCTTGACAAGCAGAAACCAAGTCAGACAATCTCCTGGCTATGGTCAAAAAAAAGTCAGCGCCACCTATTTATTATCTTCACTAAAATCTAGTGATGGGTTTCATTTCAATCTGATCGAGTCCAGCTAGGAGATGTTTTTATTTTTTTTCTTCATTAAATGTGAAATAATTATTCATTTGAGTTCATTTTAGCGTGAATTAAGCAGAAGAAAATTATATGTTAAATTGAAAGACTTATGTTCTAGGCTATATGTATGTGATAGGCGTATATATAGGCCTATACTTGATTTACTCACAAAAAGTTCTATAACTATATTTGGCCTCCGTGTAAGAAATACTAAGTCTCTATCGTGATGATCGTCCATTGCTTTGTAGACTGAGCTCTATAGAATGCAATAACAAATTTGATTCAAATTAAATTTTGAGATGTATATAAACGTCACTTACTGTAGGATTACCAATATCCGGTCTTCTGGTCAAGAAAACCACATCAAAGTCGGAATGTCCATCGGTACAGTTATACACAGAGGTCTGGTAAATTTCAAATGAAAATAAATAGTCATTGGGTAATTTGGAATTTTGATTTTCAGATGGAAGGGGTTAGGGTTTGAACACCAATTATTGGGAATTTTGATGTTCAGATGAAAGTTCTTTGGGGTTTGGACACAGTTGACCATGGGAATTTTGATGTTCAGATGAAAGGGGTTGGAGTTTCGACACTGATGGCCTTATTGGGAATTTTGATGTTCAGATGAAAGGGATTGGAGTTTCGACACTGATGGCCTTATTGGGAATTTTGATGTTCAGATGAAAGGGGTTGGAGTTTCGACACTGATGGCCTTACTGAGAATTTTGATGTTCAGATGAAATGGGTCGGAGTTTCGACACTGATGGCCTTTTATTGAATTTTGACGTTCAGATGAAAGGGGTTGGGGTTTCGACACTGATCACCTTATTTGGAATTTTTATGTTCAGATGAAAGGGAGTTATATATAGAATAGAAATTGCAAATATGGTGCCACATGCATAGAAACAAACATATGTTTTACAAACATGCAGATGTAAGTATATAAGTAAATATGTAAGCACATTTAGTAGATGAGTTGTAGAGCTGCAATGATACGCTAACCTAATAATACGACCTCGCAATACGATCTATATCGCAGTATTTTTTCTTTCCTTATTTACTTAAAAGATAAAAACAAGTACTTAACATCAGGTGTTTTTAATCCAAAATGTTCCCATATCTGTTTTATTTGTGGTTTGCTGGAGGCGATTTCAATTTCTGCGGGACACATGTGTCATTACCAGAATCCATCTTTCCTCTGTGTCACTTGAACTACAAGGGGACATAAATCTGCATGATAGCTGAGTATCGGAAGAGAAAGGGTGAAATGGGGTTTAACATCCACTCGACACAAACAAGGTCATTTCAGGCCTAACAGATAGTTCAATTTTATTTCAATAAATCGCGTGCACGTAGGAGGAAACCGGAGGGTACAGAGAAAACCAACTTGGTTGGGAGCATCAGAAGAAAAGGCAAAGTGTTATGGAATTTAAAGTACCGTGAACCGAGCCATGGCATGTATAACGCAGTATATCCTCTCACTGTTTATCGTTACAGCCCTATAATGTAAAGGTAAGTACCAGGGTATATGAGTTGTTATGATAGTACCAGAGTATATGAGTTGATATGAAACTACCAGGATATATGAGTTGATATGTAAGTACCGGGGTATATGAGTTGTTATGTAAAGTGCCAGGGTATATGAGTTGATATGTAAGTACCAGGGTATATAAGTTGACATGAAAGTATCAGAGTATATGAGTTAATATGTAAAACACAGAAAACACATAATTATATATAATATAGTTTTATATTAGTAGCAGGATTATTAGTAAACATCATATGAATACAGTTACATAAGCCACAACAACAGTTAGTCATGCCACAATGACTACTAGTAATGCCACAACAACTACTAGTCATGTCACAATTACCGCTAGTCATATCACAACAACCAGTAATCATGCCACAACAATGGCTAGTCATGCCACAACAACAACTAGTCATGTGATACAGTTATACATGCCACAACAACAACTAGCGGTAATCCACCTGTACCTACAGTCAGATGTGGTTTTATACGCGGCCGTTTTATAAAACCATCTTTCCCATGAAACTTTTCACTTGAATTATATGCGTAGACACTCCGCTACAAAGTACATATATCAACAATGAAAAGTAAATAAAACGAAATGTAACAAGGTTTAAAGATTTAAATAAAAAGTTGGTCGTTTTTGCTATAATAGTTCAAAAGTAGATACCGATAATAAAAAATGAATATATTGAAAATGTTTGCAGCTTTTACAAGAAATAGATTAAATAGTTTTGATTGTCAAGTATTATTGCTACATCATAAATAGTCTTGGTTTTCAAGATTTAACTAAAGAGCTGATAGTTCTTGCTATAATAGTTCAAAAACAGATAATGAATAGAGAATATGTTGAAAATTTCTGTCAAATTACTTCATTCTGAGCTAAGCTAGGGCTGTATGCAGAATAGCAGTGTTATAATAGTAAACAGTCTTGATTATCCATTTTTTAATTAAATCATTAACTGCCAATCGTTTTTAGATCTGTTGAAAATCAAGAAGATACGATGACTTAGAGAGTTGATTATGGTCTTGGCATGTTAATAAATGTCTAATTAATAATTTATATGACATTTCAGGCCTAAAATTTACTCAATTTTCAAATGCCAGGGGATCTTTAACACCCTGCCAATGGAATATATAGGGTCTCAGTTTTCTGGGTCATATGAAGGACTGGATTTTTAATTTTTGACTGCCAGGGGATCATTAACATGCCGTCAATGGTATTACAGGGACCCCAGGTTTTTGTGCCATTGTTGTAATTCAAGTGAAAAAAAAAGTCTCCCACCCAATCCATGAGAAATTTAATTAGAAGTTAATGAGTATTACCTGTAGTATTTGCCATGCTTTATCAGCATTTATATCAAACTGTCCGTATCTCTGTCGGGCGTAATCAGATATCCTGAAATAAAATTAGTGACGTAACAAGCTGTAAGACCAGAGGGGGTGGGGCAGGGGGCGAGGGGATTGAGATATCTCAGATAGCCTATCATGAAATAGAAGTAATAAGCTGTTAAGAACAGATTGTTGGAGGGGGGGGGGCTGAATGTTTAAACACATATGCTTTATATTATAAGGTCTGTCATTGGCACTTTGATCCCCCGCTTGTACGTGACAAAGAGTAGAGTTGCCTGTCTAATCTCATGGGTTTTCTACGGGTCCTACGGTTTACTCCCACTTCTAAAAGACCCCTATGTGCAAGCAAACTATTGAAATTGAAATAAAATTTCATGTTATGTTGAGTGGATATTAGGGAACAGATTGGTTAATCAAATGTCTGACGTCATAGGGTCAAAAGCCGCTCGTATGACCTCTGATGCGACCTTCCAGTACAACCGATCAGATCTTCATGTAGTAAAGGTCATCGAAAGTATAAAAAAAAAACAAAACTAAATATAGATCTGTATTTGAATCTGATTGTCATTAGATTCTTACCACTGAGAAATATTCCTTGGTTCTGTTCTCCAAGCATTTTCATTCATAAACTCGTACACGACTTCATTTTGGAAAATACCTTCTGGTGTAATACCGGTACCTATCATTGTAGAATTCACAAAATTTCTTCCGGTGAATGGTCCCTTTAAAAGAAGGAATAATTTAAAAGCTACAGTGTAATTAAAACAGCTAATCAATACCCAGAATATTTTCCTGCAGCAAATTCTTTCTTGACATTTTCCTTTACAGATGCATTATGTAAGAGCTCTATCTGCCTATTGAAGGTCTTTATTTTGGCTTTGGGGGATTGGATGGCTGAATGGTGAGCGAAATGAAATGAAATGAAATGGGGTTTAACGTCCTACTGTTCTGCTCCTATACTGGGCTAATGAAGACGGGCATACACCATACAGTGTGCTATGAGGAAAATTTTGCCTGGACAGCGGCACTATCGCCTACTGTTATATCGAATTCCAACTGCCAAGGGATCTTTTACGTGCATTCCAATGTATACACGGGACCTTGGTTTTCCGTATCATCCGAAGGACTAGACAGCTGTCCTTGTCAGGCCCTCCGTCCTGCATCACTGAATGGTGAGCATGTGCATGCTGTATCATAAGGTCTGTCATTGAGTCAACTAGTGTGGTTTTGATTCCCCGGTTGTACGTGACAAGGAGTAGGGTCGCCTGTCCAACAACTTGGGTTTTCTCCGGGTCCTCCGGTTTCTTCTCACTGCTAAAGACCCTTACATACAAGCGAATTATTGAAATAAAATTGCACCATGTGTTAGTCCCAAAATGACCTAGTTTGTGTCAAGTGGATGTTAAACCCTGTTTCTCTCTTTCTCTCTCTATTTTGGCTTCAAATTTTATATCAACTATTATCTAAACATTTATTAACATGACAAGCCCATAGTCAACTCTCTAGGGCCTCGGACGACCAGATTTTAAAGTTACAATTTCATATTTTCTAAGAAAGTCAAAACATAATCATTTCTATGTCTTTTGCTCAATAGGTTGTCAACTCACTATTATACGATCATAGGTGTCATTTTCACACTTAAAACTCATTTACACCAGAAATAATAACACAATCACCTCCCAATTACCTCCCTTGTTTTCTATTCTCCACCATGGAGTAGCTATCTCCAAATGTTTGAATTTGAAGATGAAAATGATATTTATGCCAATTTCTCAACTGGCAATAGTGAATTATAGGATTAATAGGATTATTCTTTAACAAGGTAGGACTGTTTATAGATACCATCTATTTTAGGGCTTTATTTTAATACATTTTAAAAATAAAACTTAAATATATGAAATTGTAACTTTAAGCAGATTAGAACACATCAGACATTTAATGATTTAATTCAAAAATGGAGAAGTGCGGCTATGTCTCAAAATAAAAGTACCATTGTTACGATAACAAACAATCAATGCTAAATTTTGTCAAAACTCCAAACAGTGATAATTTCGCTCAGAATAAAGTAATATGCTTCCGAAATTGTATGTGACAAGGAGTAGGGTCGCTTGTCCAACCTCGTTGGTTTTCTCCTGTTCTCTGGGTTCTCCTGTTTCCCTACACAGCTAAAGACCCCTGAGTGCAAGCGAATTATTCAAATAAAATTGAACCATAGATTAATCCTGAAATCTCTCAGTCGAGGAGTCGGGCTAGAAAGTTAATTATATCATAACAAGTACCTTATTAACCAAATCTAAAGCACCGTATAATTCCATAGTTCCACCAAAATTATGTAACATACACCATATAAATGGCTGGCCATAATATGATTTGGTTCGGGAATAAATTGGCCTTAATTCTGAATAAAGATCTAATACAATCATCCTACCCTGTAAAACAAAACAAATTGATGCATTTTAATTAATGATTACCTCTATTTAATCAAATGGAAACACTAGTATTTGTGCTTGATAATTATAAGAGATCGTTTGTCAAAATGCTGCATTGACCTAGAAAGTTCATCAGGATTTTCCGGCGTGGTTGCCCCTTGTCAGTGGTGCAGAACGGAGGGCCTGACAAGTACAGCTGTCTAGTCATTCGGATGGGACAAAAAAACGAGGACCTGTGTATACATTGACGTGCATGTAAAAGATCCCTTGGCAGTTGTAATTCAATTTAAGGGTAGGCCATAGTGCCGCCGCCCGGGCAAAATTTCCCTCATAGCACACTGTATGACGTATGCCTGTCTTCATTAGCCCACTAGGAGCAGAACAGTAGGACGTTAAACCCAATTTCATTTCAAGCAGTGCTTCATGTGTAGAAACTAGTGATTGTTTTCCATATTTCAATTGCGTTTATATTTTTTTATATGATGGTAGTTAAAATTTACAAACCCAAAAACAATTTTTAACATTATTTCTGAAGTTTTTGAGAAAATTAACATGGAGTTAGTTCGTATAAGTAACATACTAACTTTTGGTATAGCTGTTAATAACGCCTCAATTTGTGTTGGACCCCAGAATGATGACAGGAATAGCCATCCTTGCATTAACCTGTAAATATCAGATATTATTCCTCATTTAGAAATAAGATGATACGATCAACAGAATATTTAAAATATTTCAAAATATGAACTTGGAAATATCAGTAAGTATTCCATTAATCCATAAATATCAGTAAGTATACCATTTATCTATAAATATCAGTAAGTATCCCTTTATATATAATATCTAAATAATATCTAAATATCAGTAAATATTCCATTAATCTGTAAATATCAGTAAGTATTCCATTAATCTATAAATATCAGTAAGTATTCCATAAATTTGTAAATATCAGTAAGTATTCCATTAATCTGTAAATATCAGTAAGTATTCCATTAACCTGTTAATATTAGTAAGTATTCCATTAACCTGTAAATATCAGTTTGTATTCCATTAATCTGTAAATATCAGATTGTAATGCATTAATCTGTAAATATCAGTTTGTATTCCATTAACATGTAAATATCAGTTTGTATTCCATTAATCTGTAAATATTAATAAGTATTCCATTCACCAGCAAATATCAGTCAGTATTTTGTTAAATCTTAGTAACTATTTCATTAACCTGTAAATATTAGTATGTATTTCGTTAATCTGTCAATATTAGTCAGTATTCCATTAATCTACAAATATCAGTAAGTATTCCATTAATCTGCAAATATTGTAAGTATATATTCCATTCATGTCTAGAGATCAGATTGTATTCCATTATTCTGTAAATATCAGTTTGTATTCCATTAATCTGTAAATATCAGTAAGTATTCCATTAACCTGTAAGTATTCCATTAACCTGTAAGTATTCCATTAACCTGTAAGTATTCCGTTAACCTGTAAATATCAGTATGTATTCCATAAACCTGTAAACATCAGTATGTATTGCATTACATTAAGGGGGTTGGATGGCTGAATGGTTAGCGTGCGCGCGCTGTATCATAAAGTCTGTCATTGAGTCGGCCGGCGTGGTTTCGAATCCCCGGTTGTACGTGGCAAGGAGTAGTGTCGTCTGTCCAACCTCGTGGGTTTTCTCCGGGTCCTCCGGTTTCCTCCCACTTCTAAAGACCCCTACGCGCAAGCGCATGATTGAAATAAAATTGAAAGTTGTGTTAGTCCTTTTATCAAACAATAAATAAATAAATTAATTTAGAAAAATATCAGTAAGATTTCCATAACAAAATGTTCCAATAAATGTACATGTTTTAACAAATTTAGAAAAATGTATAAGTTTATTTACCATATAGCTTGAGGATCAGCGTCAATCATGGCCTGATAAACACCTCGAGAAGCTGATGCCAAATAACTTGCTTCACTGTAAAAAAAAAATCAATGTTATAAAATATTATTTACTTCAATCGAAATAAGGGAAAATATCCCCAAATAAACCAAAGGGTAAATAATTTTTACAGCAAAATACAAGTTTAAATTTCCATACTAAAAATATCTCATATACAACCTGCAAAATTTAGGAAAAATGGATTTACCCATACATAACACACAGAATACAGTAAAAATTGATATTCTCGATAATAACAAACATAATTCAGGTAAAATCCCATATACAACTCGCGGAATTCATGAAAAGATATATTCTTGTATATAACGTACCGAATTCAGGAAAACTTGATATCCCACATGCTTATAACAAACAGGTAAAATTGATATTCCTATAGTAAAACTAATATTCCTGTTTATAACAAGCAGGTAAAACTGATATTCAAGCAGGTAAAATTGATATTCCTGTTTATAACAAGCAGGTAAAATTGATATTCCTGTTTATAACAAACAGGTAAAATTGATACACCTGTATATATAAGTATTTACACTGTATTTACATCCAAAGTAATTTTAAGTGTTTATGAAAGATACAACATTTTATTGAGATCAATATATGTACCTGGATCTGGGTGTCATTTCATTAAATGAATCAGCATTATATATATGATCAACTCCAAATTCATTCTTCATCTACAAATAGAAAAAAAATCTAAAGTTAATGGAATAGAGATAGAATGAGAGAAATGAGGTTTAACGTCCACTCAACACAAACTAGGTAATTTCGAGACTAACATATGGTTCAATTTTATTTCAGTAATTCGTTTGCGCGTAGGGGTCTTTAGCAGTGGGAGAAAACCAGAGGAACCAGAGAAAACCCACGAAGTTGGACAGGCGACCCTACTCCTTGTCACGTAGGTCCTACAACCATGGAATCGAAACCATGCCAGATGACTCAATAACAGACCTTATGATACAACGCGCACCTGCTAACCATTCAGCCATCCAATCCCCCAGCCCAATTGGAGCAGAACAGTAAGACGTTAAACTTAATGGAGTATGCCCGTCTTGATTAGTTGGATTGATCAGAAAAGAGAGACAGAAATGGAGTTTAATGTCCACATGCCACAAATTAGGTCATTTCAGGACTAACTCATGTTCAATTTATTTATCAATAGATGTCTTTATATAGAGATGGGATCCGTAAAAAAAACACAAGGTCGAACAGGTGACCCTACTTCTTGATCGAAACTGCACCACATGACTCAATGACAGACCTAGGTATTTCAGAATACCTCTATACAACAGATGGACATATTGTATGGGGAAAATAACACACAATATTTGACTAAGTAAAATAAATTACCTCTCTAATAAAACTTGAACCTATTTTTATGAATAATGGATCTTCAAAATCTAATATATATGTTCTAAAAAAACAGAAAAGAAAATATTTCATAAGATGCTAGAATATACTTTATATACATGATCAGATGATAATGGGCTTGTCTTGTAAATAAATGTCTAAATAAATATTCATATAACATCCTGAGCCAGAAAAAAGGCCTGCAATAGGCAGATTTAGCTCTTACATAATGGGCACAAAACCAGACGCAATTTTGCTAGAGTAAAATTTTGCGTAGAATATGATGCCGAGGGGTAATCAGTCTGCCGTTGGGGCGTTTTCGAGATATTCGGGATCAAAGGTCAAATGAGTTCATTTGCACTGAAAGTGAATGTGCAGTCATACTTGTATTATGAAAAGAAGCTGAAAATGATCAAAAGTAATCACACTTTCAATAAAAATGTAAACTTGCTAAATTCACCTTTAGTCTTAGTGACCCTGGAGGTCAAAAGGTGAAATTTACCGTTTTTGCACTAGGAAGATTTAAAGCAATAAAATGTCAACGTAAAATATAAAAACTAAAGCGAAACCTGTTCTAATTAATAATAGGAACATTTAAAATTTATCTTTAAGGGATCTTAGCACCGAACTTTCACTTTGAGTATTACTATTAACAGATATAATGAATATTTAAGTATATGACACTTACTCTGAGTATTATTATAACCAGGTATGATGATTATTTAAGTTTATGATACTTACTCTGAATAGTTAGATCCAAAGCGACCCCACTGGCTTAATCTGGTAATATTAGCATTTGGATACAAACTGTAGAATAAAATAAAATATCAACACAGACAAAGAAACAAATGTGTAATTATGTTTACCGGTACATCCCAATTCTACTCGTTGCCACTGGCAACCTTTGATAAAACTGTCCTGTTTATTTTTAATACATGCTTAAAAGTATCCGTGTATCAGAAATATACAGAAAGAGTACTGTTCATTTCTGATACATGCACAAGGATAATGTACATGAAACAACTAGTCAAAATCATAGTAACAAAACAAACCGGGGGGGGGGGGGGAACTACATGGCAGTTCAAAAACATATACAATGACATTAAATTAACATAACAACATATTACAAAAATCAATTATTATACATATCAATTGGAATCTATTTCATAATTTGGTTTGATTTATATTAATATGCAAAATATATAAATTAGAATATTGAATAATTATTTTAATTAATTGTGATGATAGATGGCACAGTTCTCTTGCTGGACACTACACAGGCATTGAAAATAAGCAGGATGAAAAAAAACGCCTAGAAAGTCATAAACTTTATTATAAATAAATTTCAAATCCGCCGATACATACTTTCACCAGGAATGACCCACGTTTCGCATTTCCTTTACACTACATTTAATAATATCGCAGTCCTCTACGCCAGAGACAAGTTGTTTTGACGATGTGGTCTAAACAAACATGTGATTGTTTTACACTCAGAGTAAAAGGACTCGATAATAAATACTATTTTTCACATTTTGCTTCACAATACTCGATAGAAATGTGATGTAAGTAACTTATTAGCACCTTTCCTCGGTGTATCGGTGAATATCAGGACAGTTTTGGTCGGGAGCCGCCTCGGCTGGGCCCCTCGACCAAAACTGTCCTGATATTCACCGATACACCGAGGAAAGTGTGCTAATAACTACTACATAAACAAATTTTGTTCATTAAGTATTCATTGTACTGTTTTGTTGTTTATTTACCTCAAGAAGCTTTAATGATCGGGAGACGGCATGACATCATTTTACAATTGAAGCCAGTGATGCCATTTCGGTTAACCCAAAACATTAAAATCAACTGGTTGCAAGTGTGGAGTAAATAAAACTTCTTTTTATTTAAAACGAGAATATCTAATTATCCCAGAGAAAATTTATTTTACACAGTGAAAGGCAACACATATAAATAATAAATCATAAAAGATACATTCTCAGGAAAGTATTTATCGGGTGGTTATTTCCAATAAAAGTAGGGGGGGTGGATGGCTGAATGGTTAGCACATGCGCGCTGTATCATAAAGTCTGTCTTCGAGTCAACTGGCGTTGTTTAGATTCCCCGGTTGTATGTGACAAGGAGTAGGACCGCCTGTCCAACCTCGTGGGTTTTCTCTGGGTCCTCCGGTTTCCTCCCACTGCTAAAGTCCCCTAACGCAAGCAAATAATTGAAATAAAATTTAGGAGAGAGGTCATATAGGCTATGCCATGATGATGATGATGAGTTAGTTGTATTTTACGTCCGCTTCCACCGAGGTGTTTCTCAATCCCTTTTGATTTCTGAAACATAAAACAAAGGGAGATAATTTACCGTGTTGTAGCTGCTGGAACATGTCCTGCAAATCCTGGTAATACCGGAATCATTCCAAGAGATCTCATTCTATCCAATATTTTATGTTGTAAAACTAATTTATCTGTAATCCAAGCCGATGGTAATGGTCCACCCCAACCGCGTATGTTACCCATTCGAGCCCTGGAAATATATAAAATTCTCAAAATATATAAAATGTGGCAATTATACCAAATGCTTTAGGACACTAAATCCTTTTTGTGATCACTGCTAAAAGAACCTATGGCAGAAAATAGGACACTAAACCTCATTTCGTTTCACTTCAACTCTGTGACACATTTTCATCCACTTTCTATGTATTTTTTATCCACCTTTTTAAAGTAGCTAAATCTCTAACTCAATATCTTCGACATTGAAAACATAATTTATTTGTCAATTTAAATCAACATTGGTCTTGTGATCTTACCGTGAAAAGATGGGCTTCTGACATCCAATATTTAAGACAAGATAAACATTTTACCATTGGTACACGAATTGTGTACCATAATGCTTTTCAGCGCTATTTAACAATTGTAACAAGGGACTCAAAGAACGAGGCTAGACATATTCCACAAGTCATATCTAACGGTGACGCCATATTCTTATCCGGAGAGCATGCGCAATAAATACTATCGGTGTAGACTGGAATAACGAGATGTTTGAGATTGCCTTTCGATTGAGACTTCTAGCACATTAAGGCGAACATAACTGATTTGAAATTAGAGTAAAAACGGAAACTACTGAATGTAAATCAGTTTATATACATTCATATTACATTATTTTATGTGTTGCGAGCCATTTGTATCAATTTCTAAGTCCCAAATATTAGAGATTTAGCTCCTATAAGTTTTATTTCTATGTACTTATCATGCATACCGTAATATATAATTGAGATACTGCCCGAAAAGGGTGCTTTATGTAATAAAATCTATCTATTAAACCCTATTTCAGTTCATTTCAACTCTGTGACAAATAATGCAGGACGGAGGGGCTGACAAGGAAAGCTGTCTAGTCTTTCGGATGGGACGAAAAACCAAGGTCCCGTGTACACATTGGCGTGCACGTAAAAGATCCCTTGGCAGTTGGAATTCGATATAAGAGTAGGCCGTAGTGCCGCTGTCCGGGCAAAATTTCCCTCATAGCACACTGTATGGCGTATGCCCGTCTTCATTAGCCCAGGTTAGGAGCAGAACAGTAGGACGTTCAACTCCATTTCATTTCATTTCATTTCTGTGACAGATATTAAACATGAAATAATTCATTATTATTGTAAGATACTCTGCCTGGTATATGCACATTGGAACTTACCAGGCTAAAAACGCTGGTCCACCAAAATGTTCTTCTAAATCCTGGAAACTATAACCTAAATTCATATATACCTAAAAATATACATTATATCAATTATCAATAGATATACAAAGGAGAAAATTTTATTGAACTAGAAAACCTTAAATTCATTTCATAATAACCAGTTTTTAATAGGATTGCCTGTCTAACTAGTGGTTTTTTTCTCCAGGTCTTTTGGTTCCCCCCCACTGCTAGGATTGCCTGTCTAACTTGTGAGTTTTCTCTGGATCTTCTGGTTTCCTCCCACTGCTAGGATTGCCTGTCTAACATATGAGTTTTCTCTGGATCTTCTGGTTTCCTCCCACTGCTGGGATTGCCTGTCTAACACATGAGATTTCTCTGGATCTTCTGGTTTCCTCCCACTGCTGGGATTGCCTGTCTAACTTGTGAGTTTTCTCTGGATCTTCTGGTTTCCTCCCACTGCTAGGATTGCCTGTCTAACTTGTGAGTTTTCTCTGGATCTTCTGGTTTCCTCCCACTGCTGGGATTGCCTGTCTAACTTGTGAGTTTTCTCTGGATCTTCTGGTTTCCTCCCACTGCTAGGATTGCCTGTCTAACACATGAGTTTTCTCTGGATCTTCTGGTTTCCTCCCACTGCTAGGATTGCCTGTCTAACTTGTGGGTTTTCTCAGGGTGTTCTGGTTTCCTCCCACTGCTAGGATTGCCTGTCTAATTTGTGGGTTTTCTCTGGGTCTTCTGGTTTCCTCCCACTGCTAGGATTGCCTGTTTAACACATGAGTTTTCTCTGGATCTTCTGGTTTCCTCCCACTGCTAGGATTGCCAGACTAAATTCTGGGTTTTCTCCGGATCTTCTGGTCTCCTCCCACTGCTAGGATTGCCAGACTAAATTCTGGGTTTTCTCCGGATCTTCTGGTCTCCTCCCACTGCTAGGATTGCCTGTCTAACTTGTGAGTTTTCTCTGGATCTTCTGGTTTCCTCCCACTGCTAGGATTGCCTGTTTAATTTGTGGGTTTTCTCCAGATCTTCTGGTTTTCTCCCACTGTTAAAGGAGCTAAATCGCCAATATTTTGGGCCTAGAAATTGGCACAAATGGGTCGCAACACATATAATAATGTTATATGAATTTATATAAACTGTTTTACATTCAATTTTGTCCTTTTTACTGTGAATTGTCATCAGTTATGTTCGGCGAAATACGCCAGAAGTCTCAACCACAAGTCATTTTCTAGCGTCTGGTTATTTCAGTTAACACCGATATTATTTATTGCACATGTTCTCCAAATAAGAATATGATATCACCGTTTGACATGACTTGTGGAATATGTCTAGCCTCATTCTTTGAGCACCTTGTTACAAATGGCGCTGAAACGCATCATGGTACACGATTCGTGTACCAATGCTAAAATGTTTATTTTGTCTTAAATATTGGATATCAGAAGCCCATCTTTTCCAGGTAAGATCACAACACCAATATGTTGATTTAAATTGCAAAAAAAATCGTGTTTTCAATGTCGAAGTTTTTGGATGATATTGAGTTATGGACTTAGCTACTTTAAAGAACCCTATGTGCAAGCAAATTATTGAAATAAAATGTTAGTTTCGAATGACCTATTCTATGTTGAGAGGATAATATACATGTAAACAATTTTAAAAGAGCATGGTATATTGAAATTAAGCCCACATTAAAAGAGAAACCTATAAAAAAAAAATCTAACTTTCCCGTTGAAATATGGTAACTGATTTATTTGCTGAAATATTTTAACTAACTTACCCGTTGAAATATGGCCTCCTGTCCAGTAAAAGCTAGAGGTAGATTTATACCCTGCAGGGCCATCCAATCAATATGTCTCTCCCATCTTGTCCAATTTAACCACGCTAAACTATAACTCACAGTACAAACATTTTGATAATAACGGAACCTGAAATATATATCACCCAATAAAATAAAAAATAATGGATTACCTGAAAACGTAAAGTATAATGGACCAGTTTTGCGACCTATCCGAACGAATAGACACTGTCCTTGCAAGGCCCTTCGTCAGGCCCTGCATCACTGACAAAAGGGAACCACCACGAAAAATCAGGCATTGAACAGGGACCTCTAGGTGAGTGAACCAGCATCTCACCCAATGAGCCACTGCGGCCCCATCAAATCTTAGCTGTCATTATTGGTTCTAGTTATACCAGGTGAAGGTATTGTAGGTAAATTTACAGGTAGATTCACTTGTTTACCCGCCCATGTAAACTGTCCATGACAATAATATTTTATATAATAATAAAATCCCATAGCAAGGGCCACACCTGAACTTCCACTGATTTTATATAGATAATAATAAAATCATATACCTGTCCAAGGTGGTTCTAGTTAAACCAGGTGAAGGTATTGTAGGTAAATTTACAGGTAGATTCACTTGTTTACCCGCCCATGTATACTGTCCATTACAATAATATTTTATATAATAATAAAATCCCATAGCAACGGCCACTCCCGTACTTCCACTGATTTTCTGTACTCCATTTTCTGTAATGATCTACAAAAAAATAATTTAAATTTATTTTCCTTTCATATTTGATTTTTCATTTGTACGAATCAACATCCGCTTCCAATGAGGGTTATATTGCATTGCCAGTTGTGTTTGGGAGATACGTCCAGCATAGGGTTTAATGTCTACTTGACATAAACTAAGGCATTTCGGGACTAATATATGGTTTGATTTAATTTCATTAATTCATTAGCACGTATGGGTCTTTAGCAGTGGGAGGAAACCGGAGGACCCGGAGAAAACCCACGAGGTTGGACAGGAGAGCAACACAACTCCTTGTAACGTACAACCGGGGGATCGAAACAACGCCAGCTGACTCAATGACAGACCTAACCATTTGCCCATCCGACTCCCCTATGTAGGGATGATAAAGGAAATTTGCATTCCTCATCCCCATGGTTCAAGGTGCAGTCTTATCTTTTGAGATACAGTGTTTTATTCTTTAATGCTCTTGTCTGTCTATCCATCCATCCACTGTCTATTTTCTATCTCGAATTTTTTGTTCATAGATCATAAAGATCTGTTTAAACTCTAAACAATTGTCATTTGGATCATAGGATCACTAGTTGTAGGAGAGAGGGAGAGGGGGGAGAGAGAGAGAGAGAGAGAGAGAGAGAGAGAGAGAGAGAGAGGGTTTAATAACCACCTGACACACACACACTCAATTATTTCGGGACTAACATATGGTATACTTATATCTCAATAATTCACTTGCACGTAATGGGAATTGGGGGGGAATGGGAGGACCCAGAGAAAACCCACGAGGATGGGCAGGTGACTCTAATATATACTTGTCATATAAGCTTAGGATCCAACCATGCTACTTGAGTCATCGTCCCAACTCCCACCCCCAACATCCCCACTATACCTACAATTTGAGATGAAGGTATTATTGAAATATAGGTACCATACCTTATATGTATCTTTTCCTTGTGGTCCGAGATTAAAATCAACAGTAACATTAAATTCACTGCTTCTAGAACCTAGCACACGTTTTATTAAATCTTTTACTGATTCAGTTTGTATTTCAGCTGATGTTTTCGCTTTCAAATGTTTTAATGTATCAAACTCTGAAAATATAAACAAACAGTTTAAAATGTATCAAACTCTGAAAATATAAAAATATAAACAATCCATTTAAATAGAGAGAGAGAGACAGAGAAATGGGGTTTAACGTCCACTCGACACAAACCAGGTCATTTTGGGACTAACATATGGTTCAATTTTATTTTCATAATTTGCTTGCGCGTAGGGGTCTTTAGCAGTGGGAGGAAACCGGAGGACCCGGAGAAAACCCACGAAGTTGGACAGACGACCCTACTCCTTGTCACATACAACCGGGGACTCGAAACCACGCTAGTTGACTCAATGACAGACTTTATGATACAGCACGCACGTGCTAACCATTCAGCCATCCACACCCCCCCCCCCATTCAAACAGAAACAATCTGTTAACAAGGAGTTCCAAATTCGATTTCCAATCAATTCCTTGTCTTTATCAAATGAAATAATAAGTTAACGTCCTACTTTTCTTCATGGCTGGGTTAATTAAGATGGGAACTTGTCTTTATCATTATTAGGCTGTATATTGAGAGACAAAAAAGTGGTTTAACGTCCACTCGTCACATAATAGTTCATTTTGGGACTAACATATGGTTCATTTTTATTTCAATAATTCGCGTACACGTAGCAGTCTTTAGCAGTGGGAGGATACTGTAAATTGAGAATCTGTTTCAGTCTATTTGATACTAAGCAATATGTCTGTGATTCGACAATCGATAAAAAGCAAACTTTGAGCAAGATACCGACAACATGTATGTCAATAAAGTTACTATGGTAAGTAACAGATGTATCAAAATAAAAGTTATTTTACAAATAGCAAAAAAATTAAATCTTTAAAGATACATTATGTAAGATTTAGTTAAAGAGCTGAACATTCTTACTATAACAGCTCAAAAATAGATAATGTAAAATAAATATATTGAAAATTTAAATCAAATTAATTCATTCCGAGTCAAGTTATCACTGTTTGTAGTTTTGACAAGATGTGTGCATTGTGGTAACCATTCTAATCTGGTTAAAATCTTGAGCATCCGATGCCATCGAGAGTTGATTATGGTATTGATTTGTTAATAAATGTCTAATTAATAGTTTTTATAACATTTTTAGATTAAATTTTTAAATGGCGAACTGTTCTAATCTAGTTAAAATCTGGGGTATCAAGTTAATAAATGTCTAATTAATAATTTAGATAACATTTCAGGCCTAAAGAAAGACCTACAGGCAGATTAACATGTATGGATGTGCCGACTGTACATGCGTGGAAAGTCCGACTTTTTTAAATTTCGCGGTGGGCGGCGGTTTAAAATAATGCGGAGGTCGGCGGTTTATTTAAATTCGCGGAGGAATTTTAGAGCGGAATTTTGAGCGTGGCCAGAGCGGATTGATTAACTGACGTCTGCGATTTTTCATTTCCGCCCAGGTCGGACCTCGGGGAAATTTAGTACTTCCGCTTGAAGTGTACTGTAGCTCTTGCATATGTATGTTTAAATGTCAAATATGATCAAAATTATTAGAGCGATTCACCCCCCCCACACACACACACAGTTTCTCGCTTGAGATAGACAAGTACACTGACAACCAGTGGCAAAATGCAGTCTCAGATGATATAGGATGATAGAGGTTTTAAGAAAATTGAGGTCAGTATTTGGTCACTTACCTGTACTATTTACATGATTAATTCCCAAGATACAGACAAACAGGCTGATTACCAATATCTGAAATAAAAACCTCAGAAGATAAATTTCATCAACTATGTAGAGATAGATAGAGAGAGAGAGAGAGAGAGAGAGAGAGAGAGAGTTGACTCAATGACCAGATGAACTCTACTATATAACATGTACATATATATAAAAAAAAGGTCTGCATAGGAAACTCTTAATCTAAGCTGTACAATAGTTGAATCTCATAGGAATGTCCCTGTAAAAATGGTTCAATTCCGTTCAATATTTGCAAAGATGGTTTATCCTATCCATGTTTGCTTTCTATATATATGATTTACTGTTTAGGGTCAACCGACGACACTGCAAGAATTGGCCGTGGCACTGCAAGAGGAGTGGGTCAGATTGCCCCAAATCGTGATTGGACGGTTGATTAGGAGCATGTCACAAAGAATTGCTGAATTTCTGAGGATTGGTGGAGCAATTACTCATTATTAAGACAAAAATCAAAAACGTTCATTTTCACTTTTGACAGTGTATCTCTTTGCGAGTGAAATGGGGCCGTCAGATTTAAGCCGCCCACATGAACTGTTTATGTTCATGTGTAGGCAATTGGCCTGTTATTAACATACACTGGTTACCTCTAATAAAAACAGCAGTGCAATTCCCGCAGTTTTGCATTGTTTCTGAATATATATTCGCTAACTATGTATTGACAGTGTACTGTTACTTTACCTGTTGATAAACGATCATTGCTGCGATAACTATTAAGCCACTTGAGTATTACTGATGTTATGAAGTCAACAACTTTCTTCTTCCCAAAATAGAACCAAAAAAATAACAAAACAAATTTTCATCACATGATCAAATTTTCCGGTCAATATAACGTGACAGTCACATGGTTCAAGTACGCCGTAGTTAGGATCACCCAGTCGTTGACAATCGGGAATCTTCGATATTTATAGTGGGTCCAAATTTTAAACCTGTTGAAATGTACTCGACGTCGCGATTGTTTCAATAGATCGATAATGCAAAATTAATGTAACCTCGTATTCATTACAATCTTTTAGAACTATTTAGTGAATGAGTTATAACCTTTAACACATACTTATGGAAAACAGATATAAATATAGGCCTATATTCTAATTTGGGCGGCGTTTCGATCCGAAGAGTATTCTCTTTTCGTTATGCTGTAAGATGAGCATATAAATAGCATACCGTGAGGGAAATTTTGCAATTCCAACTGTCAAGGGTTTCTTTTACATTCACGCCAACATGTAAATGGGACGATCGCTTTGTCGAAAAAATGAAATGAAATGGGGTTTAACGTCCTACTGCTCTGCTCCGGCTGGGTTAATGAAAACGGGCATGCGGCATGCAGTGTGCTATGAGGGAAATTATGCCCTGGCAGTGGCACTGTATATGGCCTACTCTTATATTGATTTCCAACTGCCAAAGGATCTTTTACGTGCATGCCAATGTATACACGGGACCTCGGTTTTCGTCCCATCTAAATGACTAGAGTCCTTGCGGCCTCCTGCATCACTGACAAGGGGAAACCACGATCGCTTTTTCCGTCCCAGCCGAACGACCAAGCACTGTTTTTACGATACCCTCCGTTCTGTAGCAGTGACAAAGAGGAACCATGCAGTAAAATCCCAGACTAGCGATCGAGCCCGCGCATTACTTACTGGGCCACCGCGGCCCCTTGTGATCGAGATATGATCGAAATATCCACGGGATATAATGACCACGTGGATGAATAGTGCATAAATACTATATAGATAAAGTATATTATGCATGTAAGTAAATAGTGGACCACCGCTGCCAGTCTTGGCAATTAATGGCAGTGAAAGTTCCTCAGAATTTTCCGCGAATCTCCGTGATGTAGAAAGGAGCGATGGGCAAGGAGGTTCGGATAGGTCGAAAAAGCGAGGACACCTGTACATGGCGTTCACATAAAAGAACCACCCTTGACAGTTGGAATTCAACGACGAGTGGTCGGAAGTAAGCCCATCATCGTTATCCATGATTCATAAATAATATGTGGGGTGGGTTGGATGGCCAAATGGTCTAACGGTGTGCTCTTTAGATCATACGGTCTGTCATTGAGTCAAGTGGTGAGGTTTCAACCCCACACTTGCTAACTACCCCAATAGCGCACTTAAATTATTGAATTAAACTTTTAGCATGTGCTAGTCCCGCAATAATAGCTTGTGTTGAGTGGACTTTAAACTATGTCTGTCTGTCTGTACGGTGGATCGGGGCGTAGTTCGACCCCAAGCTTGTACAAGAATTAGTGTCGCCTAGCTGCCTAATCTCATGGGTTTTCTCCCAAGTTCTCCCTTTTCCCCCCACGGCAAAGACCATTACGTTCAAGCAAATTATGAAACAAAACTACAGTATACTTTATTTGATCGAGTCCCGAAATAATTGTTGTATATCTAGTGGATATTAAACCCCATACCTCCTCTCCCCATCTCTCTCTCTCTCTCTTGCTCGCTCTCTCTCTCATGGGATCACGTGGCTAAGTGGGTAAGACGCTGGCTCGCTAGCCTGGAGGTCGGGTGTTCGATTCCTGCATTGGCCGAGAAAGTTCATCCAGATTTTCCGGCGTGGTTCCCCCTTGTCAGTGATGCAGGACGGAGGGCCTGACAAGGACAGCTGTCTAGTCCTTCCGATGAGACGAAAACCCGAGGTCCCCTGTATACATTGGAATGCACGTAAAAGATCCCTTGGCAGTTGGAATTCGATATAAGAGTAGGCGATAGTGCCGCTGCCCGGGCAAAATTTCCATCATAGCACACTGTATGGCGTTTGCCCGTCTTCATTAGCCTAGCATAGTGGCAGAACAGTAGGACGTTAAACCTCATTTCATTTCATTTCATTTCGCTCTCTCTCTCTCTCTCTCTCTCTCTCTCTCTCTCTCTCAGTGAAAAAAGGTAAAAGTCAATCAACTGCAAGGGAATCAGTCGTCTCGACTGAATAACTGATTAAGGATTTGAGCTTTTAATCCATCTAAGATTAACACAATGCTCTTTATAATGGAAATCGAGATTAATTAATTCTGTTAATGTAACATTACAAGGACAATCCCCATCCAGATATAAAAAGTACATGATACGACTACAGTTAGGCCAAGAAAGGAAAAAAAAAATGTTTATGGTTACTCGGTCAGTAAATCTGTTTGCTTTAGGGGCTTGTATTTCTTTCCTGGTATTTTTTTTACCTTAAAGGAGCTAAATCGCTAACATTTGGGACCTAGAAATTCACAAAAGTGGGTCGCAACGCATATAATACTGTAATATGAATGTATATAAACTGATTTACATTTAATGGTGTCCGTTTTTACTCCAATTTCAAATCAGTTATGTTCGGCGAAATAAGTCAGCAATCTCAATCGAGTGCAAATTTCTAGCGTCTAGTTATTCTAGTCTACATAACTCCATTTGATTTGGTGCAATGTGTCTAGCCTCGTCCCTCGAGTCTCTCAATACAACTGGGGCTGAAGCGCATTATGGTACACGATTCGTGTACCAATGTTAAAAAAATTATTTTATCTTAAATATCGGATATCAGAAGCTCATCTTTTCCCGGTAAGTTTACATCATCAATGTTGATTTAAACTGACCAATAATTCGTGTTTTCGATGTCGAAGATTTTGGAGGATTTTGAGTTACTTAGTGAGTAAGGTTCTTGAAAAAAAAAATACCGGGATTTCAATGTTGGGATTTGTCGGGAGAAAGTTACGCCAAGACCCAGTTCTGTAGCCTGGGAAATGAGAAATAAAAAAAGGTTTAAAGTCGGTTATTTCGGGTAAAACGAATAGGATCGGTCGGGTAATCGTACCCCCCCCCCCCAACGTTGGCGGGGGGGGGGGGGGGTGCAGTCGGAGCACTGCCCCAGTGCCCATAAGAGTCTATGGGGCCGATGAATATCAAAGTTCAAAATTGAAATGGGCAATTATGCATGATAATTTTATTGTTCCTTTGAAGCTTATATAAGTATTACAAATGTTTTCGCTTTATCGCAATCTGCTAGTGAATCATCTAGATATGACTAGTGTTGGAAAGGAAGGGGTGGGGGAGGCAAATAAGTTCTCGCCCATGCACAATTTTTTTTCTCTTAAGGGCCCTGAACCTAAACACGGGTATTACTTTTCGTTGGCCTTAGAGATCATGTTCATCGTTTTAGACTGTTTAATAGTCTCTGGCACCATACGTTCTCGGATCATTACACTAAACGGTCATAAGGCAAACATCCGTTAGATACCAGATAGATCAGAGTTTGAATTAGGGAACCACTTTTGTTTTCAACCGGCACACAGCAACATGTACGTGCTCTTACAAAGAGATATTTCGATATTGACAGTGCTGTTCTTATTTGAGATATCTAGCTAGTTGGGAGATTTGACTGAGAAATAACAGAAGATTGGACTTAAATTCGAGACTTCAGATCCGATAGTTTTATTACTTTGTGTTTCGGAACCCAGGGACAGTCCTCATTAATGAGCTTTGGTCGTGGAAATACAAATCGGTCGACCTTCATTCCACTGTAGGAGTGATACGAGTTTTAAAACTGCGTATTATCCGACTCATAGGAACTCACAGGCTGGTCTTATTTATGAGGTTTGATTGTGGACAATACAAAACCAGCTAACTGTACGGGATCTCCATTCCACTGTAGATGAGTGAAACTAGTTTGTAGAGTTTATATCTCGTTCTTAGTGTTTAACGTCCGCTTCCACCGAAGGTGATATCACAGACAAGTTGTCTTATTTTTATTTTAATTATCTTAGCGCACGCTCAGGGGTCTTTCCTGTGGGAGGAAATCGATTGAGAAGGCGCCCCTATCTCCAAGCCACATAATCTCAAACCAGGGATCGAAACCACAACCGCAAGCCATAGGTGACCGGCCAGCCAGAGGTCGAAGCGCTGCACTCTAGCCCCTCCCCCCCCCATCGAGTTTATCCCTGACTGTTTTATTATTTATGTGGTGCTTAAGGACATGGATTTTCTGAAGTTAATTGTATTATCAAACAAGTAGCTACCCGAGAAGATGTTGGAACTCTTCAAGTTTCTGTATCTATGAATCAAATAAATATTTTATTTGTACAACAAGTGGAAATCCGTATCGATAACTGAACTGTGACAGTTTAAACTCGGATAATTGAACCAGAAATCGATAAAAAAAAAACAGTAATCGGATACCCGGGTATGATTATAAAGTTTTTTTGTGATTACAACCCATCGTGTTTTTTAAATATGATTTGAGATAAATTGTTGAATTGTGAATCACTCTTTATGCTATAGACATTCATTTAATGTAATATATTTCATGTGATTTCAACCCACGTATTTTTGTTATAGGATTTGAGATAAATTGTTGATTTTTTTTAATTATCCTTAATGCTATAGACATTCATTTTATGCAATATATAAATACTAATATAAAACACTGAAATCGACGAAAGAAAAATGGCTCAAGCAAAGGAGACGGTGCTCCCAAATCTTACGGAAATGAACAAAGCTAAAAGAACATTTTTGTGTATAACCCCCGATTTATCTCGCTCAACAAACATTGCGGATGGCCCGGCAACACCCTCCAGCGTTGCCAAGCCACCCGGGGGAATGTCTATTCTTGGATTAATCAGCTCCAAACGATTGGCGAAACAGTTAGCCAGGAGAGCGACGCTCAAACAGGAAGTGCCGTTTGTTAAGTTAGATAACACGTATCGGATGGAGCCTTACAAGAAGTTCTTGGTACCGGAAGTCAGCGAGATCATCAAGGACGTCTTAGAAGGTCATCTGGCGAACGAAAAATACAACAAAGACACGTCTCCAAAACTTACAGAAGATATTAGCGAGGATATAAAGCAGAAAGTGAAAAAGT